TTTTACGTGAACTATCCCTTTAAGGAAAGTAAATGGAAGGTCATCAAAAGTACATATCTTCGTGTGTGTGTGTGTGTGTGTGTGTGTGTGTGTGTGTGTGTGTGTGTGTGTGTGTGTGTGTGTGTGTGTGTGTGTGTGTGTGTGTGTGTGTGTGTGTGTGTGTGTGTGTGTGTGTGTGTGTGTGTGTGTGTGTGTGTGTGTGTGTGTGTGTGTGTGTGTGTGTGTGTGTGTGTGTGTGTGTGTGTGTGTGTGTGTGTGTGTGTGTGTGTGTGTGTGTGTGTGTGTGTGTGGTAAAGCAATTCCAAGGAGCATGAACTGGGCTATTTATTCACCAGAGACTCCTGCCTTTGTTTTTCCCACACTTAAATAAAAAGACGTGAGGTCGGCCTGAAGGGACTGCTCAGTTTTTAGATATTCGCATGGATTGATGTGACCCCCGATTACAGCGAATGTCAAACACACATGAAAAGTGACGACATTGCTGAGAGCAAGCAAGGCCAAATGACAACACTTCAAACCGGACAACTACATTTGTATAATGCTAGAGTGTTCTGGGCGGCTGCTAAGTGATTACTTACTGTACAAGTCTATAATATTCCGGTTTCAACAACAGTTTATTGTGTTGTTTCCAGAAGATATTACTGAGATAACTCTGTGGAGGAACTATCTACATAATATGTCAGTGTAAGTAATCTGGAAATACATCTCTCTCTCTCTCTCTGCAATCTAGGTTAAAGGCACAATATGTAAGATTTTTAGATTAAAATATCCAAAAACCACTAGAACAATGTTATATAATTTGTGGCTATCTTAGCCAGTGTAACGCCTCTCTTCGTTGCGTCGCCTGTCAATGATGTCATATCCGCGTTACGCTCGATTTCCATCAAATAAACTGACCTGTGTGTAGTAATTCAGAACTTTATTCTTTTTTATTAGAATGAAATGAAATAATGTGAATTTAAGTGATCAAATTTAACTAACAAAGTTCAAGATCAGGGAAGGAGGAGGCGAACATTAAACTTAATTTTAATCGTAAAATAAATATAAGCAACAAAACGAAACGAAAGAAGCGGCAGCGCCCGACTGCGTCATATAAGCATAAGCATGTTATTTTGGACAAAATCAGTTAATTTCAGGAGTTTCAGGAGACTGGTAAACACATTCGAACTACCATTGGTCCATGGTGATTATGTAATGAGTAGGTGTGGCTCTGTGGCTCCGCCTTCTTTGACGTGAAAGTCTTCTTCGGTTCATTTCTTCTGTTCAGTTCGTTGAGATCAGATGCGAGTAAAAACATGAGCACACTGGAGAGCTGATTTATAGTAAAAACTGAAGTTATTCTAATAATTGATAGAAGTCATTCTTATTGACAAAGTTTTTTCATGTTTAACACTCTAAAGCAATATATTGTATAAAGTGCTATATAAATAAATCACTATGATCGATCTTCATATTTGAAATATGAAATTTATATTCGTTGTGGTAATTTGCTGAAACACGGTTGGTAGATGTTTTACTGGCAAGGATTTTGCTGTCTCATTGTGAAAAGAAAGCTTTCCAGGCCTTGGCTTTGTTGAATGTTCAAATGTTAGCATGCTTAGTCAAAACCAATGAGAACAATTTGGGCTTTACTATCAAAACAGTCTCTCTAATGAAAACAAGCTAACTATACTTTCCGCTTTCAAAAATAAACTGAATAGAAAACGAGACAGAAATATTTTGTGTTTAGCACTTTTCAGTGCTAAACACCAGCTCAATCTCCTAGGAATCAGGAATGGAGGCTTAGCCAGTAAGATTATCAACAGGCCCAGACCATTTCATTCAAGTATTCAGTTCATCTGTCCACTGTAATACGCAAACAACTGCATACTCAACACATCTTTCTAATTCTACTGTAAACTACTACTAAAATTTCTACTTATGTAAAGACCTACAGTAAACGCAGATGTTGTTCAGGCTTGGTATAAGCTAGGGCTGGGCGATATGGAGCAAAAAATATATCTCGATATATTTTGCTATATCTCGATATTCGATATATATCTCGATATCTTTACAGGAAAATGGATGTGAATACAACTCAAAATATAGGCCTACAATCAATAGAAAATTAATTTTCCATAACAGAATGTAACCAAATGAGAAAAATTAAACACAGGGCCTGAATTTCGTCATCATTATTAATCACGTGATTCATATACAGAAACTGAATAAAGTAATCAAATGGAAAATAACACAGTAGTATTTTAGTCCTGAATAAATTAAATGCATAGGTTATTAATCCTGATTCCTTTAATTTAAAGCTATCTTTTGTTGTATTGACAACAAAATTAATGACAGACATATATGGCTGCCGTCACTTTAAGAGCTAGTGCACGGATCCTGTGTTCATTATACTGGCATGCGTTTTATGCTTATTAAAGACAAAACCGACTATGTTTAGAGTATAGGTACTCACGACGACCGAAATTGACAATTTTGCGTGTTAAAGCAATATAATCCGCGAAAAATAACTTTTGTTACTGGCCAGCTGTTCTTAAGGCGGATTTTCTATGAATGTGCGCATAGAAAATAATCTCTCAGAGAGCGCGCGAGCACTGATTAGTTTAAAATCGCTTGAATGTTTAAACTGGTAAGACTTAAAAAGACGTGCAAATGGTAAACTTCAGTCACGATGCACTGCTGGCCCGATTGTGCGAGTGAATATCCATCATGTCCCGACTCCTAAACGCGAGTGTATGTTATGGCCGCAGCGCTTGATGCTTGCCTTGCACAACACATTATGAGAGAAGAGAAATAAGACGCGGCACCGCTGAACACTCACGCTGTTTGTGAAATTGCGTCTGGCAGATAGTTGTTAAAAGAATGATTTGATTTTATAATCTGTGTGGATTACGATTGCGGGAATTTCCCGCATTATAAATGGGAGACCTGCGGGAATGATTAGAATTATGCGCAATACCCGCGCCGAAATTCGAGCCCTGCAATAGTTTAAAACAAGACGTTTGTAGTAGCCTTCTGATTACTGGAGTCCATTAATCGAACTTCCATGCCTCTTAAATAGTAATTATATATTGTAGTATGTAGGCTACCAATTTACTAACGCAATTAATGCTCACACTCGGTTTCTCTCGTGCTCTGTCGCTCGCGCGCAGACACACTCGGAGTTCTGTAGCCTCCGGGCTGGTTGCGGATGAGACAATTTTTGAATGAGACAACACGCGAGGTGAGGGGGAACAAAAGCAAGGAGGCGGGGGCGAGCACAGCACAGAGAAGGCAAACAAGCAAAGTGGCGAAATCAGGATTAAAAATAAACAATATATCGATATATACGATATGTCAAAATCCATATCGTGTTTAAAAAATATCTCGATATATTTTAAATATCGAGATATCGCCCACCCCTAGTATAAGCCAGAAGCCACAAGTTATTTTTAATGTGTTTAAAGGTGAAACAAGTGATTTCTGAGAAATGCTGTTGAAAGTGGATCAGACCGAGCGCCAAAACACACTTGTAACCAATCAGATGTAAGGTGCCGGTGCTGCATAGCATGTTTATGAGTTTGGGGGCGGAGCTATCCTTTGGGGAATGGGCGTGTTTGTTTTGGTGATTTCAAATATCAACAGCGTTTCTCAGAAATCGCTTACTGCACCTTTAATAGCTTATCTTCTTTTTCAGCGGCCTTGGTTCTGGAAGTATTTTTCCTATATAGACTTTTTCAAAGTTTTCATTAAAGCGTTATAAGCCAGCCAGCCAGCTATGAGTTTAATCACAACATTACAAATTTACGTGACGTAGTAGGATGTAGGAGTAGCGTAAGCTGAGACGCCTCTCACGGTTCAAACAAACAGGGCAACAAACTCAAGCTCCTCCGACATTTCTCTGTAAAAACATTTCTCGTTTTAGACTTCTAATTCGTGACTGGTATTTTGTTTTGCTTCTGCGTTCATCAATACGTCATGCGTCGGGTCAGAGGTCACTCTTATAGACTCGTGTACGGCTGTTACTGGAAGCCAGTGATTATAGTTTATAAAGTTATATAAATATGGATATTTTTCATAAATAAATGCATCGCTTCCCTTCAGAAGGCATTTATTAACCCCCCTGGAGCCGTATGGATTATTTTTATGATGGATGGATGCGCTTTTTTGGGGCTTCAAAATCTACGGTACCATTCGATCCCATTATAAAGCTTGGAAGAGCCAGGATATTTTTTAATATAACTCCGTGTTTAGCTGAGAGAAGAAATTCATATACACCTAGGATGGCTTGAGGGCAAGCAAATTACGGGATTATTTAAATTTTGGGGTGAACTAACCCTTTACCAACCTCGTAGCTGTCTTTAAACGTTATTGTTAAAAATCAATTGCCCTATGGAGACAATGAATGAGATTTTTCCTTCTGGAACCCGACTGTTGCCGAATTAGAAGTACTGCACTACCCATAATCCTGTAGCAAAATTCACCAATCAGAGAAGTTGGATTATGGATATGGGGAATTTTGCAGACTAGTGGAAACTAGCTTAGTAATTTAATTCTAATCTAATGTTAACATAGCTAGCTATGGGTCTACCTTATATGCAACTGTTTTTTCTGTTGTTTATCAACAAAGAAGTATCATGGCAACCAAATTGCATTAGGTAAACATTAATAAACAAGCTAATATTTGCATTGCTTGTGTACAATCACCAAGAGGATAATTTATCGTTTTTTACTTTATATCAGTTTTATTATTGTGTAACATTGGAAACTGAGTCATCGTTGGATTTTATTTGCTTAAAACTTCAGATTTATCATTAACTGAGTTTCCAACTTCAATGAGCTGAATTAAACAGAGCATAGCACATCTTTACTGAACAATTTTCTGAAATGCCCATGGAGAAAATTAGCAGGAAAAATAGTGGACTTTAAAAGACACCGAAAAAGTAGGTGGTAACTGTTTGTGATTTCACACATTAGATAAATATCTGAAAATTTATTTTGTTAAGAGGAGATCCACTTACCTGTACAACATCTATCCCTCTTTTCCTGAAAGAAAAAAAACAAAACAAAAAAAGTTATTATTTTCAGCTCATGTCACAGGTTGACAAAAAAAAAAGATTAACTTAATTTTTTTTTTATTCAAGATACAAATCACAATGATTACATTCTGACATGAAATGAAACCTGGATAAAAATATCTGTTGCCTAGAAACAGAGTTGGCTGTAGGAAGGGAATCAACACTAGGGAAGTCAGAGCCATCAACCTGTCCATGCTGTCAGAAAACAGCTACATTTAAACAGCGCACAACAAGGAACGACTGTCACAAAGCTAGCGCGAGTCAAACGTTAGAATTTACCCCAGTGTTTCTACAAAACAACAGGACAAGCTGACACACAAGAATCAGTTTGCTCGGTTTTTACTTATGCTTTGTAGTGAGATCCTGAAATTGTATCCTGATAGAGGATCCCAAAATAAAGCATGCTGGTGGGGAAGTCCTTTGGATGATTTAAGGGGTCATTAAAGTCGACATGAACCTGAAGTTGCAATAACCTTTTCTTCACTATTGTGGCATTCATCCGAGTGAAACTGATTCTCGGACAAGAAAAAAAATCTAGGGCGGGACTTGATTTTGTCCATTGGGAATTGATAGGATCCTTGGTTTGCTATTGGTTGATCTCATGTGAGTGACTGGTTGCCCCTCCCTCACGCCAGTAAACACATCATCAGAGAAGAGATAAAAGATTATGAGGGCACATGAAATTTAACACAAAAAAAAATGCTGTGGACATACAAATAATTTATCATAAATACTAAAATATTACATGAAAATATGAATTGCCAATTTTGATTTCATGGTGACGGAGAAGCCAGGCAACCATTTTCTCTTTTCCTGTCAGATTATTCCACACCAATGTCAAAATAATCATGAGGGGTATGAGCCAGAGCTTATTCATTATTCTGTCAGAAAACATCATGAGGGGGTTTGTGGGAGTTATTTCAAGTTTCAGTGAGACAAAGACTTTTCTATGTGGGTTCATTCAATATGGATATGGAAAGTGAAAAAACATTTATCCAAAAATTCCGACTGGTTCTTTCTGAGTGAACAGACGAAACATGCCTCAACTTTTCCTGAATGTGGAGTATGTTGTCAGTATTACATAAATCACAATGTGTGCCAGAAAGCAGGAAATAATGACACCTGTTGTGAAAGGAAAAGCAATTAAAAGTAACTTTTTTGACTGTACAAATCAGAGGTCCTTGACCAATGTATTCTGAAGGCACTCAGTCCCGGTGTTTTAACCCAGGCTTTAGGGCTGTGAAACGATTAATCGCATCCAAAATAAAAGTTTGTGTTTAGATAATTTGTGTGTGTACTGTGTATAATTATTTTGTATATATAAATACACACACATGCATGTATACATTTAAGAAAAATTGTATTACTGTATATATATTTATATATATTTTACATATACTGTATATACACTCACCTAAAGGATTATTGGGAACACCTGTTCAATTTCTCATTAATGCAATTATCTAATCAACCAATCAGATGGCAGTTGCTTCAATGCATTTAGGGGTGTGGTCCTGGTCAAGACAATCTCCTGAACTCCAAACTGAATGTCAGAATGGGAAAGAAACGTGATTTAAGCAATTTTGAGCGTGGCATGGTTGTTGGTGCCAGACTGGCCGGTCTGAGTATTTCACAATCTGCTCAGTTACTGGGATTTTCACGCACAACCATTTCTAGGGTTTACAAAGAATGGTGTGAAAAGGGAACAACATCCAGTATGCGGCAGTCCTGTGGGCGAAAATGCCTTGTTGATGCTAGAGGTCAGAGGAGAATGGGCCGACTGATTCAAGCTGATAGAAGAGCAACTTTGACTGAAATAACCACTCGTTACAACCGAGGTATGCAGCAAAGCATTTGTGAAGCCACAACACACACAACCTTGAGGCGGATGGGCTACAACAGCAGAAGACCCCACCGGGTACCACTCATCTCCACTACAAATAGGAAAAAGAGGCTACAATTTGCAAGAGCTCACCAAAATTGGACAGTTGAAGACTGGAAAAATGTTGCCTGGTCTGATGAGTCTCGGTTTCGGTCGAGACATTCAGATGGTAGAGTCAGAATTTGGCGTAAACAGAATGAGAACATGGATCCATCATGCCTTGTTACCACTGTGCAGGCTGGTGGTGGTGGTGTAATGGTGTGGGGGATGTTTTCTTGGCACACTTTAGGCCCCTTAGTGCCAATTGGGCATCGTTTAAATGCTACGGCCCGCCTACCTGAGCATTGTTTCTGACCATGTCTATCCCTTTATGGCCACCATGTACCCATCCTCTGATGGCTCCTTCCAGCAGGATAATGCACCATGTCACAAAGCTCGAATCATTTCAAATTGGTTTCTTGAACATGACAATGAGTTCACTGTACTAAAATGGCCCCCACAGTCACCAGATCTCAACCCAATAGAGCATCTTTGGGATGTGGTGGAACGGGAGCTTCGTGCCCTGGATGTGCATCCCACAAATCTCCATCAACTGCAAGATGCTATCCTATCAATATGGGCCAAAATTTCTAAAGAATGCTTTCAGCACCTTGTTGAATCAATGCCACGTAGAATTAAGGCAGTTCTGAAGGCGAAAGGGGGTCAAACACAGTATTAGTATGGTGTTCCTAATAATCCTTTAGGTGAGTGTATATACAAAATAATTATACACAGTACACACACATATATTATGTAAACACAAACTTTTATTTTGTATACGATTAATCATTTCACAGCTCTAGATCTAGTTACATCTTGCCAACCACATAAAGGCATTCTAAGAGACTATAGAAATAGAATTAGATCAAAATCAGGCAATTATGTAATAATTATGACAGCTACCCACTTCTGCTTTGATTGAGGCAGGATATTCTACTAATCTTTTAAAAAAAAAAATCCTGGGCTGAAGTTCTCAGAAGAAACCGAAGTATAGTGTGAGACGCGACAGAGTTCTGGACTGAGCCGGGTCACAGTGACAGATCAGGGCCGCTGGAGTCAGAGATACGGACAGAGCTGAAGTGTGGCTCAGCTTTCATTGGTTTCATTCTATTATCTAAGTGAAGCAGAATATTGGATAGAGAAAACAAAAGATAGTGAGCAAAAGCACTTGTATTATGACTGCGATACGAAGGAGGGTAAAGGGAGCAGTCCAATAGAACAATGTACTCAGTTTCAGACAAAAACCCATCAAGGTTAAACTAATAAAGTCATGTATACCAGAGAAGATACAACAATCTTCAACAAAACGAAGGTCACTAAACAATCTCCAAGAAAAGTTTTCTAGTTAACCTTGGCCGGTTTCATTTTGATTTTCTCATCTTTTGACTGCAGCAAAAAAGTACAGCTGCACCATTCTGGAGAAATTGAGCAAAACATTTTTTATATAAAGATCAAGTTAATAAGTTGATCAAATAATCATCTCCCATGCTTCTGAATAGACAAACTATACAAAATAACATGTAATTTACAAGAGGTCCTGACAAAATTCGATTTAAAAAATGTTTTAATCGGGTTGAATGAATGATTCAATGACTCACTCATAAAGACTCATTACTGGATGAATCAGCGTTTTTGAACGAATCTCTTGAATGAATGATTTAATGACATTCACATTTTTTAAGTCACTTATCGCCACCTACTGGTGTAACAATGCCATTGATACAATCTTTATTTGAAACGTCAAGGTACTTTTACAAGGTGATGTTGATCACTACAGTATCAGTGTTTATATCTGAACTACAAACGTTTATCTAAGTACTTTTGTGATAATCTCTACAATTGTAAGAATAATGATCATGTATGGTTAGGTATAAATGTATCCTGTTTGTGAAGCTGTTTCATACTTAAACATGGCCACTGCTCTCTCTAGGTCAGCGGCGCCAACGCAGATTTGAATGTTCGCTGTGATCATACTTGTCAAAGATTTACACACAGTGGAATCGCTGTCATTTACGAATAAGATCGCGTGGGTGTTCGAACCAAGATCGCAATCTTTTAACGATTATTTGTGAAGCTGTACAACAGTGTCTAAAAATGTTTTTAGAATTTTTGTTTAGAGGATATACCAGTTATCAGCAGATATTTAAGTTTTTTGTTGTTTTTTTCTTCATTTATTGATATCGGTCAATATTGGTTATTTAATTGTGCACACTCATTTTCTCCATTTGAACATTTTACTATTTTGTATTTTTAAAGTGAATCTTAAATAACTAATAATTTTATAACACTGTAATATTTAGCAATAAGAATATCAATTTATGTTCACTTTAGATTAGGGTCCAATTCTCACTAATAACTATGACTTGTGTCTCAATAAACTCCTAATTACTGCTTATTAACAGTTAGTAAGGTAGTTGTTTGGGGGCGGCAGTGGCTCAGTGGTTCATGTGGGTTGTCTACAAACCGGAAGGTTGGTGGTTCAATCCTCGGTTCCACCTGACCAAGTGTCGAGGTGTCCATGAGCAAGACACCTAACCCCGGCTGCTCCCGACGAGCTGGATGGCGCCTTGCATGGCTGCCGTCGCCCGTCGGTGTATGAATGAGTGTGTGAATGGGTGGATGTGAGGCAAATGTAAAGCGCTTTGGTGGCCATTGGGTCTGTGAAAGCGCTATATAAATGCAGTCCATTTACCAGTCCATTTGTTAAGTTTAGGTGTTGACTATCGAGTAGGATTAAGGGATGTAGAATATGGTCATGCAAAATAAGGCATTAATATGCGTTTTAATAAACAGCCATATCCTAAATAACATGCATGCTAATAAGCAACTAGTTAATAGTGTGAATTGGACCCTAAACTAGTGTTAAAACCATTTTTTTTTCAATTATCAGTCATAACAAAAATGTTTTTATCAGATCAACAGAATTTAAAAATCAGAATCCATATACATACAATATACAATTAATAAAAATGTGGACATTGTGAACTATCTTTTTTTTTTTATCTGATGAGCACAAAGTCTAAACACAGCCTTGTGTGCAATTCAAA